ATGTAGCTCACTTGTTTAAACGTGGGTGACTAGTCTCTTAGCCTTGTATAACTTACTGTATTTCACAAGCTTGTTGGGATGATAAAAAAAAAAAAGAAGAAGAACTATGCATTAGGGCTGCCAGATCGGGGCTGCAAACAGATCAGGGCTGCAAGCACTAGGCCGCAGTAAAGAGACATTGAAAACTCTGGCTCTTTGCTGCCATCTAGTGGTTGTGCAGATTTCAGAGCTGAGATTTGATAGCCCAACCATGAATGCCATCCCAAACAACTTGAAGGAAGAGTGAAAAACAAGAAGATAAATTTAATCATCATCATCATTGTCATCATCATCATCATCTGGGACAGCTGTTGGGAGGAATGAATGTAGGCAAATAAGGTCCTCACACTCAAGCTTCTCTTTCATTTTCTTGTCTTGCAATAATAAATTTTCTTGTCTTGAAATACTGCTTCTCTGTTCCCAGCAGGACTCTTGGGTCCTGAGCAGCCAGATTACGGGCAGAAAATCAATATGGAAAGCTTCAACTTTCATTTGCTGATAACTGTAGCTGGAGAGATACATCCTTTTCCTTCTGCATCCTCATGTGAACAGCTTTACAGAGATTAAAGGATTCCATTGTTGAATGTGTAACCAACTAAATAATTGTACAGTATATACCTTTGATTCCAGGCAAATGCTAAACCGGCCTTTTACTGAGCTTGACTTCAATCCTATGCATGCTTACTTTTGAGGAGCCATTTATAAGACTGTGCTACAAATCTTAAATGGAAAGAAGTGATTCAAAGTGAAGTTTGCCTGTTTTCAACCCAGAGATCATGATCTTTGTTTTAAAGCCAGAAGTAATGATAAGAAGGGGTACTGCACCTTCATTTTTGTTCTCTGTGTGTCCTACTCACTGATTATAATGATTTCTTTTTTCCTATCTGTTCTAACAAGTAAGATTTTACCAACAGGGAAGATGGGGATAGGACAGGAGCTATCCTTTTTTAGCTGCTTTAGATATTTCAAACCACCACCATCTAGGATCTCTAGCTTGGCACCTGGTACCTCTTTTCAAGATCCAGTTAATGCATCCTTGCAGACGCTTTGTCCATCTATTTTGGACCAAGTTAACCCCTTAAACAAATGGCAGAGATTTTGTTTTTTTTTAAGAGGTCGTTCTCTAAGTCTTTTAAGAGGTTGTTCTCTAAGCATGGCTGGCTGGGGAATTCTGGGAGTTGGTCCACCCATCTTAAAGTTGCTGAGGTTGAGGAACCCTGTTCTAAGATGTATCACAATACAAACTAGTCTAAGGATTCCTCGTTTAGGGGAACCAATGTTGTAACAATGAAGACCTAGACAAGGAAGAACAGGAAAAAAAGTTCTTTGCAGGGCTGTAGCCATCCATTCTGAGCTATTTTTATTGTTTTGTGGTCAAGCTCCAAGCCACTTCCCCTCTCCCACTACTTTTTAGACCAGTCCTGTTAGAAAAGGGCAAATGTTCTTTTTAGCCCTCTTTTCTGTCTCCAAGGAGGATTTCAGTACAGTCTCCCCACCTTTTCACCCCAAGTCCCTTGGAGTCTGTGTGCTTGTCTTTTTTCTAACTTCCCTCTGTTTCTTTTTCTGCCAAAGAGGCTGAGTAGCAAGAAATAAACTGCCATGGAGTAACCAAGATCCCTGTTTTCCAACCTTTTTAGGATTCCTTCCTTTGACTGCTGTTTCCTAATTTACAGTCAGTTCCCCCCACCCCCCTTGCAATTTTGCCCAAGGACAGCATTTTCTAAACCCTACTCCTATTCTTGATGATCTCAGGCAGGCTAAGATAAGCAAAAGCTTAGGACACCAAATCAGCACAATTAACATTTATTCTGGGCTTTCATTTCATTTGTATTTTACTCTTTAGTTTGCAACTTGATAAATTACTAACATACTAATTTCCCCAAGCTAACGTAATTAGAATCTGTTGTATTTATCTTGCTATTCTCCATATAAATTACTTGAGTATTCTGATTCTCTATCCTGTATGTGTGTCAGGAAAAAAAAAAAAACCCTCTTTCAATTGGAAGAGATTATGGTATGTGGTAACAGGGTTTAATTCACCAGGATCCACTTTAGACTGTTGTTTAAAGCTCCCTTAGTGAATATGTATTAGGAGATGGTTCTGTGGAAGTCTGAGCTATGCTCCTGAGCATATCTGGTAACACTCAAGGCTTAGAAACATGTAAATATGGCAGTGTCATAGGATCCCTGATGCCTGCAAATAGTCAAAACAACCTAGAATAGTACCAAGGATGTTTTAAATTGGATTCAGAAGGGTTGAGAGGTAGAAAGGCTGATCATTTAAGAGTCCCTCCAATGCCATAACTAGGAGAGAGGACTGCAGAAGAACTCAGTTGCATGTAGGCAGTCAGCTAATTGGATCAACTTGACATATTGTAGTTGCAAAACAAAGGGAGGCTAAGACATTTGACTTGGTGGGAATAAATTGAAAATAATCATATTCTTGATTTTATCATCTGATTTTATGTTTTGACAATTATTAGGAGCAATGACCCTCAAAATAAGGAGCTTCTTTGGCAACCTGGCATTTTGCAAACAACCCTTAAAGGAAATGTCACTGAGTGGTTTTGTTTTTGCTGATTATTATCACCATCATACAAAAGGGTTTAGCTTTTCTGCCCAAACGCTTAAAAGCTACTACAAATTTCTGCCCCAAAATATGATAGGCTGAAAGGAGCATGTGGGAATATGACATGTTGACAAAATATTTAATGACACAAACCTTTTTTTATTTCTTTCAGGGAGCTTTGTTATAGGTTTGATTTCAATTGCTTTTTATCTTTGAGTATTCTAAAGACTTAGGTGGGCTTTTTAAAAGAATTATTATGTGTTTTAATGTCTTATGTGTTATGTCTCTTACATGTTTCCTAGCTTTCTGGAAAGGTCCATAATGCTGGGGAAGAGGGAAGGAAAGAGACAAAGTATCTTTGTCACAGTGGGCACAATCACTACAAGACACAACACTATACAGTACAACAATTGTATATGTTTATTGAATCAAAACTTGCATACAGTTATCCTTTTAATATATTTCCTAGTTCTGGCACAGCTAATCAGTGGTACACATTGCTGATCAACCCAATTTTCCTAACTAATGTAAGCAGAGAGGGTATCTAAATTTGTAATTAGTTACCAAAATCAGTTTTCTTGCAGCTCCAGAAAGATCTCACAGTGTGGAAACAATAGTGAGAGAAGTAGCAAGGGAAAAGCAGCAAATAAAATACCAAGCTATAGCATGATGAAGCTCATGCACACTACGTGTACACCCTTACATACTGCACAGGCATCTCACAGAGCTCCTTTTTGTTTACTAAGGTATAACCTAAAAGTTTTGAACTCTGACCAGCTGATTTTCATCAACTTCATCATGGAATATTAGGACACCCATAGAAGAGAATATCTGTAGTCAGGGTTGAACTGTGGAGGTCTTGGTGCTCTCTGAGCTTGGTTGTTTGCTTGCAGACATTTCATTATACAACTGGCACTAAGAACTCACAATATTATGAGACTGTAGAAGACAATTTGGGGAGGGATCTAGCTGTTGTTGGGCAGTTCTTAATCATGGAAGTGCATGTCCTGAGTCTTGATCCTTTGTCCATCATCCATATTTTGCTTTTCTCCTGATCTTTGGCACGTAATTGTCTTAGTCCACCCTAGTGTGCTGTTGCACTTCCATGTACCTGAGCATTTGGGTGGGTTTTGTGTACTTCATTAGACTGAGTATTCATTAAACAGTTTGTTAGGCTGATTATCCAACATGATCATTGGAAAAGTTTATTTGCTGGCAAGCCTGAGAAAAGGTTATATTCCATTCAAACATGGATTCTCTCTAGTTCTGCTTGCTCTTGGTTTCTATAGCTCAAAAGCACCCTTCCAACCATTCTGTCCCCTTGCACCTGTATTTTCGCCTCACACATAATGATCTTTGATTCCCTGGCCTTATCCTTCAACATGCCATAGAATACTTTCTTAGTTTTCCTGTAAAATAAATTGATATTATTAATCCCAAAAACTAAGCAGATAACTTACTTTCAGAACCTATTAAGGAAAAATACATTGTTCTGTCTTTGTTCAATCGCTCCCTTGTTTTGAACATGAAGAGTTGCTATCCTTGTGTGGCTTTTTCAAATATAAACCAGACATTCCTGGTAATTTAGTTGAGAATATATTTCCAAATGTGTAACTGTTTTATTCAAGTTTTTCTCCTTATGTGATGGGAGCAGTTGTCACAGTTTAAGGTTGTGTAGTATACAGTAAAGAAGTCATTCCTTTTATCTGGATTTATAACTTGATCTACTTTTACTATACCTGTGTACCCCTCTCATAATTCTTCTCTGATAAAAAGATCTAGATATTGTCACTTTCCTTACTCTACTGTATGCTGTAACCATGAAGAGGCAAGAAGTCCTGACTTTGGTGCCTCAGAAATGAAGATGTATTGTAACCTTAAGTGGTGGTCACTCATCTGCTGGGGTGGCATGACCTGCTCCCCCCATATTTTGTTTCTAGGAAATGTGGCCTTGGTTGTCCTTTGCTCTAATGAAGTATTTTCTTTCCTCGTTAACACCTGGCAAGAGTAGCAGTCTTGTCAACAGCTTTGCCCTATCACTAGTTGCCCAGCAGAGATTAGATTAGTTGAATGTGTTAACATGTTTGCTGTTCCTTAATTTTGCACTTCAGAAACAGCTGCTAGGATGGACAGTTTGGTGGTCATCCCAATCCAAGCTTTGCCAATTGCCCAGCATTAGTGTAATTGGACAAGTTTAATAGCCCCATTATCTCTCCTGCTAAAAGGCTCACAACAACTCAAGGCAGAGATTCAGTGAAGCAAACACAGGTTACTGATGTAATGAGATGGAAACAGCAAGCTGTTGTTGCTATTTTTTCCCTCCTCTTTAAGACTTAATGTGCTTGAACCAGCAAAAAAATTGACCATGTTGATCTGGTAAAATCTTGTCTCATAGGATTATAAATATGGAAAGGAGATGAGATGGGAGTTACATATTCCCGGTAATCTCTGAGCATCCTTGCACTGTCATCTTGGTTCGGTAAGTCTGCTTTGTTCTGCCCACATGAATTTGGAATTCAAATAGGTGTGCATCAGATTTCAGTGAATCCATGGAGTTCAGAGAGATTCTGTGGCTTTCTGCATGGAACTGAACTGAGAATTCTTGAAGTTGGTGAGCATTTTCAGAGCGAATGGGATCTGAAAAAAATAAGTACATTCCAGTGATGCTAGGATAGGAAGTGGAGGAAGGGAAAGAAATTGAATGAGTGATAAGTGCACCTTTTAATGATAGGGCTTGTACAACCAATCATAGCACACTGAGGAAAGAATGGTGAGTTTTATAAATGGATTTGCTCTGTATTTGTTGTTAGTTCTGTGTCATCTGAACAGGAACTCTTACAGAACTCCAGTGAAAGGGATTTTGGTTTATGTATACTCCTCACTTCTTATTCTCTCAACCAATCCATAGTCCAATTTTCAAGCCCTTTTGGTTAAATTTTTCCTTGCCATTCATCTACATTTTGGTCCTTTCTCAAAATTTCACTTCATTTATTGTTGCTGCTGTTGCTTAACGTAAGTATAATTAGAAAAATTATACTGGCAGTGTTGTTTCTTTCTCACCTCCCACCCTCTTTCAGCCTTCAGATCAAATCTTTATTATGGTCATAGACCAGCATATGGAAGGTGGGATACAGTCATTAAAAAGCATAGAGGAACAGTCTTAATTCTGAATATTCATTTGAATCAAATTCCATTTTTTCACCTCAGCTTTTATTAAAAGTATCCATGTGACCCTCTTATGATTGTGTCCCACTGTTGGATCTCTGAGCACTTCTACATGAGCTTTGGCACTGCTCCTGGACTATCCTAGCACCCTAGTGTTTCATGCTGTTTTTGGATTGGACAGCTGAGCTGATGTGCATGAATTGAGAATTTTCCAATTCACCTTCTGGAGTGCTAGAACTGATGTGGAGAACTCAAGCCTTGTCCCACCTCCCACTTCCTATCTCTTGACCTCTCTCACTTCCTGCCTATCACTACAACTATCAGTATGTTATCACTAATGCTATCACTAGTGCCTTTCAGCCGATTTTAATAGATAAGCCACTCTAGTGTGCTTCCTTCTTATCAGCTGTCCTTTGTTGCGAATGCTTTGTTTTATTCAAACGGATTAACAAGGGGCTGTGGTGAGAACTGGTGGGCGGGTTCAATGGCTGTTTTTTCTACAGTATTAATAGTCAGCCAGGTGGTGGTCCCTGCAACAGAAAGTTGCTAGCATTGAGACCTGGTAGGTAAGCTATTTCCCAGGATTTTTGTTTCTCTCTCTCTCTCTCTCTCTCTCTCTCTCTCTCTCTCTCTCTCTCTCTCTCTGTGAAAACATTGTTGAAATGCTTTCAGAGTATCCTTTGTGATGTGGGACAGCTTACTTAATTTGATACATGTGGTATGAGTGATCTGCTATATAGTATGTTCATGATAAGTGACCAGTCATTTAACTTGAATCACTGAATCACCAGGAACTTGGTGGAATTTGTAGTCTTATCTTGCACAATGAAGTCTAGGATTTTGCATGCTTCATTCTCAATATTTTGTCCACATTCTTATAACTGTCTTCACATTGCTATGATTTAGGTAAGTTTGGTGTTATTTCTTCCTACTAACTTTCCTATTTCATCCCAGTCCTTTAAGAAACTTGGATTAGGGTTCCCACATCTAGTCTGCAAAAAAGAGATATAGAAAACTCTAACTCTTTTGTGCCATCTACTGGTTGGCCAGATTTTTGCAGCCTGGATCTGGTAGCTCTAACTCAGATGTATACAGGCTACATTTCATTCAGTGTTCTCACAACCTAGTTCTCTTGCCCATCCTAAAACGAGCTTCATGATGCATAGCAAAAAAAGCCCCTACATTATCTGGAATTTGCTTCCAAGCAAATATGCACTGAATTAGTTTCATATCCTAATTCTTTTAATTGGAGATATGGATGAAGCATCCATGCTTTATCTTCATAGCATCAGATAGTTGGGAGGGGCCACTTAGGCCATCAAGTCCAATTTCCTGCTCAGTCTACAGCTCAATATATTCAGTCACTGCTTAATGTATTCAGCTCACCATCTCCCTGAGGAATTAATTCCTTCCACTATCACATGGCTCTTACCTTGGAATTTTCCCAAGATCCAACCACAGGCTGTTTTTCTATATCTTAATCCAAGTTTTACTATATGTTTAAAATATTTCATGTACGTTTTTAAGATCATGTCATGTTTTTTTAAAAAACTATGAAAGAAATATTTCATAGCAAATAGCATTTTACCACTAAAGCTTGGCCACATCATATCCCATTCTGTTGGCCTGCCGTCCATAATCTGCCTTATTGCCACTGCAGCCTTCACCTTGTTGTCTTCACTTTGTAGGATTCCTCAATGAATTCAGAGCTCCCCATGGGCTGCTGTGTGGTAAAAGGGAAGATAGAAAAAAAAGGGGGGGAGGGCATAGCAGGCAACTCTTCAGTAGAGAAAACCCACAAACATTCAAGCAACATGCAGGAAGGCAAGTTCATTGGGTTGTGAATGGGAGAGAAAAGAGGAAAGGGAAAGAAAATTGTTCCTCTTGCAGTGGCCAGGATGTTTTTCCCTGTGCACCAGTGCTCCTGGGTCTACTCTGTAACATGGAGTGGCTGGGCACTTGCCCAGAGATGGCTGCAGCGTGGTAAAATATGGAATGATGGTAATCTAGTGGCAGCTTCCCTTCTTTATTCTAAGCCCATTTTCTATTGGACTCTCCCTTTCCAAGGTTTCATCTACATCACCATGACTCTTTGGATCCGCTCCCTACCTCTCCTGCTGCTGCTGGCTGTGTCAGCTCCTACCATTAGCTACGCCGCTCCCAATCAGCATCTATGTGGCTCTCATCTGGTGGAAGCCCTCTACCTTGTATGTGGAGATCGGGGCTTCTACTATTCTCCCAGGTCACGACGGAACATGGAACAGCCGCTAGGTAACTTCCTTTCTCATTTCCTAAATTGCCCTGATTGTAGTATTATCTGGTGAATCTGCTTATAACTCACTACCTGGTAGGCAGATAGTCTCAAACTAGAAAGAAAAATAAATATGGTGTTTATATATCAAGGGTTGCCTTTTGAAACATGATCTTCCCCATCCCGTCAGAACAGTAAGAGAGAGTCAGCTGAGAACCCACCCCGCTTGGGAGGTTAGAGGGAAGTGGGCTAGAAGCCTGGCCTTCTCTATAGTAGCCCCCAGAGGTATTCTCAGCTCCAACCCTCCTTGCTTTCCAGAAAGCCCTGAAAACAATTTCATTCCAATGAGACCTTGACTCACAGGGTGATCGTTGGCAACCATCTGGCCTTAATTTGTGGGTGGCCTATTTTGACTGGGTTATTTTAATGTCTTTTTCCTTCTTGTGATCCTTGTTGGGATCTTGATTGATTGGGGCTGTCTATAAATATGGTAAGTAGATAAATACATATCCATAATGTGAAGTAAATTGGCAAACTCTGTTCTTAGACAACTGAAATTACCCACACTTAGCAAAAGAATTCAGGAGAGGAAGCTATGAAAGAAAACTTCCCAGACTAGTTCTTCAATGCATAATGAAATGGCATTTGCCTTCCTCCTTTATCTTAGCCTTCCCCAACCTGGGTTGTTCAAGATGTATTGGGATACAACTCCCATAGATATGGCTAGGGAGTGTGGACACTGCAGGCCACTGCATTTAATGGGCCTGAAGTCAGGATATGCTGTTCCCTCTGTTTTACCCTGACTGATTCTTGATTATTCCACTGTTAAATGGAGAGTGAAATAGACAGATGTCCAAGATGCACACATCTCCTAGGTGGCATTTGCAATTTGTCACTGAGGCAACTCACTGTTGATGGTAGATTTAAGTCCATGCCAACTTGACAGCAAGACTCCTGTTATTTTTGTAGCCTGGAAATATTATAGGGCTACTATGGCAATGATAATGTAGCTTAACTGTTTTCCTAAAAGTCAGAAGACAGACCAAGAAGCTTCTCTGAATCAAACGTTCCACAAGGAGTTTGCCAATGCTGCCAAAACCAATGCATCCTGCTGGGGAAAAAATGTGCATCATATTTCTCATTTCAAATACAGAGAAGAAGCCTAGTTCCTCCCCTGCACTTTGTTTTTATGCAAACCATCTTGACTCATTACTTGTAGGCTAGGTTTGCACAACATGTTACATTTGGCTAAAAAGAAAGTGGACAGTTTGTCATGTAGTGTGTAGTGAGAAATGTATGTATTATTGTAGGCCCTAGGAACCAGACCATCATATTATATTTGTATTTGTTTGGGGATAGCAAGCTGGGACCTTCAGTGAGAGTGATGAATTTGGGAGCTCAACAAGATGAAGCACCTCTTCCTTCAGAGGAAATACAACCCTATCCAACCCTGGAGATGTACTTAGTTTCCAGACCTGTGAAACACTAATCCATAGAGTTTCTAACTTGTTAGAATTTAGCTTTACTTTATTGCTAATCTCAGTTGAAAGTGCACAATGTGTAACCAGGATATAAAATATCCAGCTCAGTTTCAGTTAACTGGCTCACAGTACAAGAGCCTAGTACCAGGACAATCTGATAACCACAGCTAAGACAAGGCAGGTACAGTATATTCCAAAAAAATTCACCAGGCACAGTTGATCACCTGGCAGAATTGGGAAGTTCCTTTAAAACCACCTTTTGTTCAGCTGGGAGAGGAATGAAACTGTCAAAAAAACAGTAGTATTCAACCTAAGCTTCTTAGCCCAAAAAGCAGCTGTGGGTAGGAGAGACAAAGACCTTATAGCATCTTTGGAGATGCCAAACTGAGACAGAAAGTCCAAATGAATATACCTTGTGCTGAATACATTTCAAAGGTCCATGTAATGTTGGTGTTCTCCTGTTTGACAGTGAACGGTCCTTTTCAGAACGAGGTGGAAGTACCACTCCAAGAATTTCAGAAATCGAAGAGAGGAATTGTGGAGCAATGCTGTGAAAACACCTGCTCTCTCTATGAGCTAGAGAACTATTGCAACTAGAAGAAAGAAAATGGTCTACAAAGGAATGGAGGGGAAGGCACTTTGCTACTGCACCTTTTAAGTCTCTAAATAAAAACCCCATGAATTTACTTAAACAGTTTTTGCAGTGCTATATGTTCTCTCTGTGTTACGCTCTCTCATTCTGTCTCTTTCTCTGTGTCTGATTTTTTTTTTATTATTTATGGCTACATATCTTTCTTTCATTGGATTCTAAAGTTTAGAAGAATGCAGCAGTTGCCCAACTGAGAGATTGCTTACTGGCCTCCAACACACATAAATTGTGTAGAGTCCTTGGGGTTCTCTGAGCTTGGTTGTTTTCTTGCAGACATTTCATTACCTGACTAGGTAACATATTCAGTGCCAGAAGGGAGTGGAGTTTGCTCTCTGTTTACAGTAGCTT